CTCGCCCGCCCGGCCCCGCCGCCGGCACCGGGAGAGGAAACAGCTGAGAAGTGCCGCGGGACGCTCTGCGGTATGGCTTTCCGTAAACCCTACAGCACGCCGGCTGGGTAAACCGCTGCAGCCTCGCGTGATTCCTCCCCGAGTCCCTCGCCGGGCTCCGTGGGGTTTGTTATTACTATTTGTCTGTCTGACAGAAGCGAGCCTTTCCGTGCCTAAAAGCTGTCCGCGACGGCCAGGAAAGAGGAATCCCAAACGCTGAGCCGGGCTTTGGCAGCTAAGCTGGAGCGGGGCAGGCGGAGGAGTGCGCTGTAACTCTAACCCCTGCACCACTTGAAGATGTCCTAAGCCGTTCGAGCGATTTTCTAACGCTTGCCTGCATGGTTTTTCTGTTCCAGACGTCGTTTCGCATCCCTCCGACGCGAACTCGTACAGACGTGGGAGGAAGAAGCGAGTGCCTTACACAAAGGTCCAGTTAAAAGAACTCGAAAGGGAATATGCTACAAATAAATTCATAACCAAAGACAAACGGAGGAGGATATCGGCAACTACAAATCTGTCAGAGAGACAGGTCACAATCTGGTTCCAAAACAGAAGGGTCAAAGAGAAAAAAGTGATCAACAAATTGAAGACTACCAGTTAATGGATTAAAAATGGAGAAGCAGCAACTCAGAAGTTTGAGAACTTTTTTTTCGTGTTCAGATTAAAATAATTATTAATAATAATTAAAAAGAGAAAAGACAATGAACCTCTTCTTTCAAAACAAGAGATCTGTATCTTTGGAATTACAGCTCTTTTTTTTTTTTTTTTTTTTAATATTGCTGTAGCAAAATGGTTAAAACTGACACTTCTCCTGAAATCCCAAGCAGCCAGCCAGTATCACTGACAGACTGTAAAACCCACACGCCCAGCCCCGAGAGAGATACACTTTCAGTTAAGTCACACGATTTTCTGAGAAAGTTGTAAGTACTTCTATGACCTTATTATTTGAGAAGACTCTTCGTGGCCACCATGCCAGAGCTGGTTAACGTGAGGAGGTCGATGTGGACACATAAGCTGGTTTTCTTCCATTGCAATCCAAACTGTATGTTGAATGACTGCTCAGGTAATCCATAGTGAAAAAAAAAAAAAAAAGTACAATTACTGTATGTTTTTAAGCAATGCATTTAATGTCAAAAAGTAATAATAAATCTCTAAGGTACTGAATAAGGATTTCAGAGACATCAATAATGAAGGAAGCTCTGTGGAGGATCTATCTTGATAGCAAATTAAAAACATCGCAGACTAGGGGGATAGAAAGGAAAATATTTGCTTGGAGATGTCTTTTGATTTTATTTTCAAAAGATGATTTGTCATCTGGATTGGGGTGTTTTTTTGTTGTCGTTGTTTATTTTTTCTCCTGCAGACCGTACAATAGATACTTTTTAAAGGACTCTGCCTATTTTAAACCTCAAATGTTCTTCAAGAATTAATATTCTAGGTCCCCGGATTTTTTTTTTAATATTGACTATGGGTGGATACAAAAAAACGCGAACATTGGCTTTTATTTACAATTAAAAAAAAAAAAAACCAACCACCAAAATCAAAACACCTTCCTGGGAAAAAAAAATCCAAGAACTTTGAACTGAAATACATTTTTCCCCAGAAATATTTTGATTTATATAATCTATATTTTGATCTATAAGTAATTAGTCGTTTCTCCTTGTTTATTGTCTGTAATGAGGCCGCAGTAGAACATTTAGGGATTCTTTTTACAGCACCTTTTAATCCAATCAGTTATTTCAGCCAGCACATTATTTTGTTTTATTCACTATAAGAAGCTATCTTGTAAATAAAAAAAAAAAAATCAGCGCACTGTGAAAATGTATTTGTGCACCCTCTTTTTTTTTTTTATATATTTCTACTGAAAAATGAAAAACCAAGACATGTAGATAGGTCTAGTAGTATTAATACTGTTAATAAAGTAGTCACTGTAACAAAACCTGAAAGAAATACTCTTTATTTTTCGATACCTACATGAATTTCTTAAGAAAAAATATAATGTATCTGTCTTGTACTTGCAATGTTGTTGTCTTCCCTTCTGTAGCTTATGTATATATGGTGTTTTTTTTCTGGACGGTATTTCTCTGGGGGCAGGGACGCCTGATAACCAGCGTTCCTAAACTATAAATGTTTCGCTAATGTTACACAGTGGTTTTGCAGCATGGCTGGGGGCTGGGGGGCAGGAAGAGGAGGATGATACCCGTGCAGCGCTGCAGGCGCGCCCGCCCCCGCCAACGGCGGACCGGCCGCCGACCCCTGGGACGGGGGTGACGCTGTCCAGCCTGGCGATGCCTCGACGGGAAGGTGGGGGGTTGAGTGGCGATGACAGGACGGGGAAGGCCTGAAACCTTGACCTTGAGGGAAAAAACAGCCGATTTGTGACCTTGACTTTTGACAGCTCCTCACGCCGGCG